CAACTGGCGACCTTCAATGGCAAATCGGTGAAACGGACGGTGCGTCGTGCCCGAGGCACAATCTCCGACTCTTCGCTGCTTCCAGTGGCGAACATTGACGCCGCACTGCAAGCATCGACTAGCAGCGCCAACCGATATGGCACCTTTCTGCGCGAGGACATCAACGACAGTCTGCAAACAAATCGAACCTCTGACCTCGATGAGAGCTTCCGAAGCAAGGCGAAAGCCTCGAAGGAGCGCTTTGTTGTGATCAATGAACAGGGAGATGAGGAGGGAGTGGTCACACTGCCTGCCGCCTACAACCCAAACACTGCGGGGCCCTCAACAAGGGTGACCATTGAAATACAGGCCGAGGTGAATCCTCTTTTGAGTGGCGGCGGCAAGTCCAAGAAGAACTACCTCTTCGGTGGTGTCAGTGGAAGCTACGGCAGCTTCCAGCCACTTCTGACTACTGGCGGCGAAACTGCTGCAGGAGTTGTGGACGTCAGTGGCAGTTTGGAGAAGAGCAGCCACCACCTCACGGATGAAGCGGTGATACAGGCGGAGAAGAGTAAACTGCTGCAGAAGCGGGAGAAGCTGGGCGATGACTGGCTGCTCAGCGGGCAGAGCACGCCGGCAGTGCTCATGGACAACGCCATTCTCCTGGGCATTAATGAGCAGCGGTCGGAAACAACAACATGCACTCAAGAAGGGGAAGTGGCGGCGACGGCAAGTCAGGAAGAGAAGGAGACAGAAAAGCAGCCGGAAACCACCACTACTACGCCAAAACCGATGCCAGTCACCAGCAGCAGCAGCAACCTCGACGAGACCTGCGAGTGGGACGACGAGGACACCGAGGACGAGAACACCGTCTTCCTCGTGGAGATCTACCCAAACGAGGGCGAGTTTTTGAGCAGCGTTAACAGCAGCAGCGAAGCCAGCGGCGACTACTTCTTCATTCGCGTCCGACCGCGAGACGGCCTGCTCTTCGAGAAGGACTGCACCACCGGAAAGGTGCTCACCACGCTCGACCTGAAGATTCTCGAGCACTACCAGTGCTTGCCGAGGGACGTACCTGAAGCTGAGGCGCGGGCGTTGCGGCTAATTTTCGACACTACTATTACCTCCAAACGCGAGCGCGTGTACGTCTTTGTGGAGGACGGGCAGTGTGAGGCCTTCACTCGGCTGTACCTCGCCAGCTACGGACAGTACAAGAGCAAGTTTGAGGCGGATCTGCTGGCGTCGGGCAGCTTCAACCCTAAAAACGGCGGTAACTTTCTCTCGACAACTCCGCTGGGTGGAAATCGAAACGGCGGCGGCGGAGGTGGTAATGGTGGCGGTGGTGTCGGTGGCAATGCCTACCCTACCACGCCCACCTGGTTCTACATGTGCCTTCGCTGTGGCTTTCGCACGCCGCGCATCATCACCGACTGCAGTCAGTGTCACTCTGATCTGATCATCAAGGACAACAGTGGCTCTAGGAGCTCTAATGGCCTGGACTTTCAGAGCTCTGGCAACCACCACCACCGAGCTTCGACGCCGCTGCAGTCGTCGCCCAAGTCGTCGAACTGCTTGGAAGCAAGCGAGGAGATGTTCTCCTCGGGAGCGTTCAGTCAGAATAATGACCCGATGCTGTCGGTCGGTGGTGGAGGTGGACAAAGACTAACGGCAAAACATGACAGCAGCTCAGTGGTGAGCGAGGAGAATCTGGACAGTGAGCCGAGCACCATTGACGAGACCTTCTTCAAGGCGGACATTGACCACTACCTGAAGTTGCACATTGAAATATACATCTACGAGCAGATTGACGACACTGAGCTGAAGGGCGAATCGATCGAGTCAGTGGCCCACTGCATGGCACTCGACTTTGCCACCAACAACCTCAGCCCAGCGTTGGTCGTCTTTACGCAAAACTACCTCTTCGTCTTTGACCACCTGGTGGTAGTGGAGAGCAGCAACAGCAACAGCAGACATCAGCCAGCGGAAGAAAGTCAAGTCCGACTGCGATTCTACCGTCAGCTGGCCGGCCCCAAGGCGTCGCCCTTCATCATCAGCCACCTGCCTGCGCCGCTGAAGAACCAGGGCTACTGGATTGAGTGCGGACTCCTGTCGAAAGAGGCGGCGAAAGGCAGCAGCAGCAGCAAGGAGAGCAAGAAGAAGCGGAGCAAGCGGCGGAAACGATCAAAGGGAAATCTGCTGTCCGAGTACGCACTGGAGTTGCTGCTCTTTGATGATAAGGCGATCGGCAAGGCCTTTCTCCAGCTCTTTCTGCACTCTCATCGAAGCTGCTTTCGTGCACTAGGCGAGACGGCGAACGGCGCCCAACAGCAGCAGCAGCTGCAGCAGCTGGAGGCAAATCTGGTGCTGATCAAGGCGGACATCACTGAGCTGTCGCACGTAGACGAGGAGAGAGACGTGACCGAGGAGGCGACGGCGCTGATGAAGCGGCGCAACAGAGTGGCGCTGCACTTTGACGAGGCCTGTCAGCGGCTGCTGCGAGAGGAGCAAAAAGAGGCTGCTGGAAAAGTACCTGACGCCTACTCGTCACTGCCAGCCCAAGTGAACAGCAGCAGCAGCAGCAGCAGCATCGAGTCGGCCAACTTCTTTCTGGTGCGCTCCTTCAACCTCATCTCGAACATCAGCGCGGTGACCGGTCGGGGCACGCACAGTCCGCTGTCTTCGGCAAAGGACAACAGCGGTGGTGCCTTCAAGGTACAGCAGAACCTGGCGCTGATCGTCAGCCAGGGCGGCAGTCTGGTGATCTGCCAGCTGGTGGCGCGGCTGGGCGCCATCGCCGCCCTCACCGCCAGCCTGCGCCCGGGGCAGTCGATGGCGCAGGCGCTGCAGTCGACTGCCCGCTTTGAAGATTCCATCGAAGTGCGCCTGCTGATCAAGGATCTGATCGTCAATCTCCTGCCCAACGTCTACATCGACCGGGCGGAGATGATGCTGGTGCTGCGCTTCAGGGATGAGGACAACGGCAGCAGCAACGTGGCTGGACACTCGCCCACCTCCACCGAACAGCAGCAGCAGCAACGAACACCACGGTCCGGACTGGTTGTTTACGACTACCAGATTACGTTCAACAGCGTCAACACGCTGAAGCGCGCCTGCCGGCTGATTCAGTCGCTGTGGGAGGAGAACTTTGGCGTATCGCTCACCTTATCTAAGCATGTGCCCCTGTCCGCTTGATGGTGATGATGGCGAGGATGATGGTGATGGTGATCGCGTCGAGCTAATGCTCTAATGTCTCCACTTTCGATAGAGTTTAATAAAGCTGACACTTGTGACTTTCTTCTTCAGAATCCGTACTAATGCGCGGACATCTGTGTGGCCGTAGTAAGATATACTCTCAGCCTGCAGAGATGCTCTGATATGGGCAAAGTTCAGCAGTTGTGGACAAACAGCAGCTGCTCAAATCAAATCGGCCAAAGACTGATGGTGGAAGAAGGGCTACTTGGACAAAACGCACTGATTCCAATCGGCCAATCGATCAGTGGTGGTAGCAGCCAACCAGCCAGCCAGCCAGAGTCGAAGTTCTCTGGTTCACTGTGTGGCTGCATGATTGCTGCTGCTGATGAGTATCAGGTGTCACACAAGTGAGGGTTGTTGTTCCAGCAGCAGCAGCAGCCGTCGTGGCGATGACAAGTGCTGATAAAGGGGTAGAAAAAGAGCAGTGAATGGACACCAACTTCAACTTCATCATCTTCAGCATTAGGGTGTCTTATCAGCTGACTGCATCAGGCAATGTAAACAAGAGGCAATCCAGCCAGATGATGATGATATAAGCCGATAGCTAAATACGAAAATCGTCGATTGATAAACGGAAAGAGACTTTTTTCTGCTGTACGCAAACCAGACGACACTTCTTCTTTTCGGTCTGTACTTGCGATCGACAGTGTGTGAGTGAGTGATAGGCAGACGAGCCAGTGCTTCGGATGCTGCAGTATGAGATGGGCTGATTATTATCAGCCGCACACACTCACTCGGACACAAGTAGGTTACAGCCTCAGACAGGCGGTCGTAGTAGTAAGAGAGTAGTAAGAGGAGTAGTAGAAAGACCAGACCAGTGCATTCATTCATTCGCCATCGTCCTCTGAGGAAGTGAAGACCTCAACTGATCACCATCACCACATCACATCACACCATGAACACTGTTCCTCTTTTCTGCTCTCTGGCCCTGCTGCTGCTCTCCGTGGCCGTTGGCTCACAAGGTATGGTGTTTTTTGCTGGTTTTTTTGACAATTAACCTATTCAACTTCCTTTTAAATGCAAGGAGAACAATTGGGCGTAGTTGTGGAGAACCTGGGAGAGGAGGAGGAGCAGGGACAGAACACTCTCGACATTGGCACCGTTCAAATCGATGAGGGTTTCAGAAGTAAGCCATCCTCCTCCTCATCCTCCTCTTCAGGAATGGACCAGCTCATCTACGAGCTGGTGGCCGACGAGGAGGAGGCGCCATTGAGAACGAGTTCGAGACGGCCGCCCTCCGGACGACGGCCCTCAAGGCGAAGCTGGACGTGGCCATCGACGCCACCATACTGAAGCTGCAGAGTCTGAAGAACCTGCGGCGGCACGTTGAGAAGGCCTACAAGTTCGCCGACAAGTTCATCGCCGGCAGCAAGCTCGGGACCACCAACAAAGAGGGCAGGCGGTACGTCCTCGCAGAGCTCACAAAGTCCCTCGACCAGGTGGAGCAGGCGCTCAAGCAGAGTAGCAGCAATTTAGCACCAAATCCACAGCTCAAGTCCAGTGAGTAGTCAACCATCGGATGCCAAACATGCAAACATGCACATATTTAATATACTTATAAAAACGAAAGCAGTATAAAAACAAGCGAGCACTCCTGCCTGTTCTGTTCAAGCATTGGTGTGCTCAATAAAGAATTCGGAGAGCTGAATGGTGCTGCTTGGGATTGTGGTTCGGGTGTGGGTGGTGTGACGCTGACGTTCAGCGTCATAAACAACGGCAAGACGTGGCAGATAAATAGAGAGAGAGAATCATTACCTAAATAGCTAATTTCAAGAAGACCATTGCGGCGACATGGTCGTATTTAGTCGCGAGGCGGAGGTGTTCTTCTCGGCGACCGCCGCCGGATGGTACATCTGCGTGGTGGGCAGTGAGGACACTGTCGAATTGGTCGGCAGAATTGCAATCTTCCGGTGACTTTGCGGTGGATTGTGGCCCGTGGCACTGATGTGTGGACTGCTGCTCGGGGGCGGCGTGTGCTTGTAGCTGGAGGAGGAGGAGGCGTTGGTGGTGTTGTTGATGGTGGGCGTCGAGGAGAGCGACGGCGGAAGTGGCTTGCTGAGCACGCCCGAGTCAATGGAATCATTTGGGTAGCTGCTGGCCAGGAGAATGTCGCCGACTGCCGCCGGCACCGAGTCGCCAATGTCCTCCGCATCGGGAACATTCGACGAGCCGTACGGTGTACTGCTGGTGCTGGACATGCGAGCTGCTGCGACGTCATTTTTGCTCTGCGAGACAAAGACGTCCTGAATTGACTTGCGAAAGCACTGAAAGTTGTAGTCAATTAAACCCTGTTTGGTGAAGTTCTCCTCTCGCAGTATGCAGACGAGAGCGAGGAATTTGTTCACTTCTCGGAGGTATAGCACAGTGGAGGAATTGAGGCGAATACAGGATGAAGAGCAGTTGTCGAATGTACTTCCTTCGCCTGCTTCATTCACACTAAAAGACGGAAAAAAAGTTAGTTAGGCTCACACTAAATGATAGTGTACAGTTTTGCTGACACCTACCCGTATATGCAGGAGATATCAATCACGACATCGATCATGTCACAGCAAAGCTCATAAGACTGCATATCGACCGGTGAAGAATCGGTGGCGATGAAGATCTTGGAAACGACATCAAAGAGAAAGGCCTTCTCGATACCCGAGCTCTGAATGGGGTAAAGCAAAGATGTTTAGTACGTTTTATGACAAGCAGGATTGCAATACCGAAATGAAAACATTAAGCAGATTCTCGAGAATAGGCAACTGAGGTATGAGTTTTTGAACGACTTTGGAGAAGGCTTCAAAAATGGAGTGGTCGTAGATTGAAGTTAGATAGAAACTCAGCAAAATGCCATCGTCGCCTTGGTCCTGCAAGTCATCGTTGGCGCGACTGTGAATCTCCTGACGTGCTTCAATTTTGTGATCGTCAGAGAGGCCGTCGACTTTGTGGATAAACACTTCAAAGTTTATGTTGGGATTAATTGCATGCGCCCTTTTGACGGTCTGATTTAAATTAAATAGCGCTTCCACGTAATCGTCCTATTTATAAAGTGGGAAAAAATGCGTAAACACACAGTTGAAATGACTCCGAAAACGAACTTGTGAATCGATTACGAAGACGAGAGCTCCGCAGCCTTTAAAGACATTGGAGAAATCAAATTCCCGGTCAAAAATATCCATCTGACCTGGAAAGTCCCAGATGGTGAAGGAGACAAAGGAATTGTTTGAAATGTCTGCAAAAGTAAATGTTTTTGTTGTTGGTAAACAAGTCATAAAATGATTGTGCGCTGCAGTTACCTTCTTTCACCACTTTGTTGGTGCTTTCGAGGAATAGCGTTTCATTGGGTGACATCTTGTGGAAGACCACCTTCTGTATGGATGATTTGCCACTTCTGAAGGTGTAAACAAAGCAAATTAAACCACAAAACAAAAATCAATCGTAACTAGCTAGAAAGTATACCTCCGAAGGCCCATAATGATAATTTTGGGCTTGGTATCAGGCGAGAACATCTTGTCGGTGTGTTGTGCCTCGTGCAGTTCGCTGAGATTTTCCTCGCCCGGGTAGCCGAAGGCCTTGAATGCAGGCACCGAGTAGCCCTTATCTTCAAAGTTCTCCTGCGTGGTGGTGGAAGGTAAGGAGAAGAAAACGGAAAATGCAAAGAAGGTGGGGAAACCCTCGGTTAACGAAGAAGAAGACAAGTAAAGAAGAAGACAGAAAGAAAAAGAAGTGAGGAGGAGAGAGAAAGTGGGAGAGTGGGAGAGTGAGTGAAAGTGAGTGATCAGGTGGTGGTGGTGGTANCTCCTCGCCCGGGTAGCCGAAGGCCTTGAATGCAGGCACCGAGTAGCCCTTATCTTCAAAGTTCTCCTGCGTGGTGGTGGAAGGTAAGGAGAAGAAAACGGAAAATGCAAAGAAGGTGGGGAAACCCTCGGTTAACGAAGAAGAAGACAAGTAAAGAAGAAGACAGAAAGAAAAAGAAGTGAGGAGGAGAGAGAAAGTGGGAGAGTGGGAGAGTGAGTGAAAGTGAGTGATCAGGTGGTGGTGGTGGTAGCGTTAGGAAGGCGATAGGCGCCCAGACTGGGCAAAACAACAATAACCATTTTCGACTTTAATCTTCAGGCAAAGTGGAGGAGGAAGAGGAGCGTAGCGGAGAGCAGGCTGACGGCAATTCTAGCCAGATAGAGGTTGAACTTGAGTCAGATGACTACCAGTGGCGGTGGTGGTGGTGCTGGTGCTGGTGTTGCTGGTGCTGTGGGAGGATCCTGGTTCACTTCGCCAGGGAACAAGTGACTGCTCAGCGCTGACTGTGTGCTGATTTGTGGTGATGACACAAAAAACAGTTTCACTCTCTCTGTGATAGAGCCTTTGCTTTCCACCTCGAAAGACGGGGTAAGGACTACTAGCG